AACATCGTTTATCAAGACGGGTTTTGTTCTTTATTTCTTCAGAAGAGCATAACCTGCGATGTAAACAATGCATAATTCGCAAGAAGGGTGTAAAAAAGACTACCAGGAGCTTGGCTGCTGTTGATTCGGTCCTCCCAGAATGGGGTCTCCTAACCCACGCGCTTGGTTGGAGATATTACAAGAAATCCAAACATGAAGCTGCCTCCTTATGGTTTTTGGCCTTCTGTGCTGCAATGATCCCGTGGGCTGGGCTGACTCTAACAGTTCCTGAAGACTCAGTCATGCCGGGAAGATCAATGGGGGAACGGAGTCATTGTACTGCGAGAAGTCATTACGGGGTGGTTGGGAGTTAGAGCGTATTGCCCTCTGCTTTAGGGGTGTGAAGGTAGTAAGGCCACCATTATTATTATTATCACTAGATGCTAGAACGTTGTACTTGCTGTACAGTGTTTCCAGCTGTCACAGTTTCGTCCACTTATGGTTTGGGTTGATCGGGTAGATAGCTGCGCGTTGGAGGCGATAGCTGATATAATTCATGGTAAATGCAGGGTTGTCGGTGAACTATTATTAGGATAGAAAGCAACAGCTTGAATGCAATAGCGCCATTGAGGGCGTAACTGGGACATGTCTGACAATGTCTGCAACAATTGATGTATCACGTCTCGGAGCCCACATGCACGGGGACGGTAATGACCAGCGCAACTGAATTTGCTGGTAGTGGCTTTCACACTTCCCTGCTAAGTCATTGGTTGACCTCACCTGGCTCGTTTCCACCCTTCACATGGTTGTTCGAAAAGACCTTCCAGGAAGTCGGTCGACTGGCTTACGCAGCACATGGCCAAGCCAGTGCAACCCATGCAGTGTGATTAAGTCATCTGTCGAGGGTGAGTTATTTATTCCTAATATCATTCGACGTACTTCAGTATTGTTTATCCGGTGTTGCCACCAGACTTGGGCAATGCTCCGAAAGCATCGATGGCCAGACACTGAGTATTTTGACGTCCTCGGCGCGCAGCGGCCAGGTTTCTGATCCGTATAGTAATATGGATTATGATGGCGCGCTCACGTCTCTCAAACGTCATGAAAAACCGAGGAATCCGCTTTGTAACCATAGCTCTCAAGGTGTTTGGCATTATCCTGCACAGGTTGGTCCGTCATGGGGACTTGGGTTCGCAAGAATCAAGCTTTGTTTCGGTATGGTGAGGTCGCGTCGATCATATTTTCACCTTGCGGCACTGCGCACTCCTTCCGACGACCAACATTGGTTGTATTTAACGATCTCAAATTTTCTTTTGAATTCCCTGATCGTCAGAAACTGGCAGTTTCTGGGGGTCCATTCTGAATCCCTGCCTTATAAATGTTGTATATACCTCCTCCGCGTACATGTCTCTTGCAAATCATCTCCTGAGCTCACCACACCCACTGGCGTCAGGCAAGGGTGTCTTCTGTCTCCACTTGTCTTGAATTCGTAATCGTCATGCTGCTTGTATTTTGTTCACCTGCCTCTGACACCTTGGTGATGGAAATATTTCTGGGACGTTTGCTCACGGACATTGAGTGCGCCGACGGTATCGCTGTTCTTGGAACAGACACTTCATAAATTCAAACGATTTTGAATAAGCTAAATAATTCTGCCTCATAGTTCGGTACGCACTTCGCACCTGTAAAGTGTAAAGTGCTGCTGCAAGATTAGGTGGGATCAAACCCAAACCTCATAACTGCAGGTGATCCATGTGTTGGATAGGTTTGTCAACCTGGGCAGCTGCATAAGTCCTGGTAGATTGACGAAAGTTGAATGCACTTCCCGAATCGGTAAGTCGCGGACAGCGTTTGATAACCTCGGACATTTGTTGCACTGAAGTGACATCAGCTGGACTGTCAACAACAGAGTGTACAATGATGCGTCCGATCTGTCCTACTTTATGGGTCAGAAATGTGGTCACTTCACGCGAAGATCTTCGGGGATTCTGTATGTGTCACCACAGGTGTCTCCAAAGCATTGTGTGAGTCTGGTAGGAACACTAGATAAGTAGTGCTGAAGTACGTCAGGTGGTTTACTGGATGATTCATCCTCCCTCGACCGGTCAGCTGGTCACACTCCACAATTTACGCCGGTAGGCCATGTACTTCGTATACCACCGGACCATTTGCCTCTTGGAGCCATTTTCGCCCAGTCTTGAGTCGAACAGAGGCAACCCACGGGTGGGCACTCCATGATCTGGCTAAGAAGCATGAAAACCCTTACCAATCCTCTGAATCGCGTTGGTAACTGCCGTCTTCCCGGATGGGACTGCGGGGCGAGACCAAAGAATAGTTTGTGACCCTGGTAGATATGGTTGTGTCACAGGCGGTGGTGCTCTTTCATCAAAAGTATCGCCTTCTCTGTGTAGCCCTCAACCTCTGCCACACCGGACGAACAGAACCGTTTAATGTCAGTGAACTGCGTGGGCCATTACATCCAATGAGTGACTCTCATTCCCTCGTTCTCCTTTTTATCGGTGAACAAATCTGTAGCAGCTGGAGCCACTGTATTTCGATGCCCTGTTTGCGAGTTGAGAAACTGTGAATGATCTGAACTAATAGTGATTAATGAATGTCATACTGTCAGTTTGTTTCCAGACTTTCTAATTGAGCACTCGGAGGTATAGGCATCCCAGACCAGCATCAGGTCTCTCCCTCCGCCGCTCTTTTATCTTGTTCTCACTTTAAGACTAAGCGTAACTAAATGAACTTTTGGCAGGATGGCTCAGTGGTTAGAGCGCAAATTTACTGGCTGGAGGGTCTGTGGTTCGAACCCGACCTTTGCATTTCGCCTTTCTCTGTCTAGGCTTGGGCAACCTGGGACTATCCCATCCCCAGTGCTTTTTTCGGGTGGATGGCGGTTAGGAACCAAAAGGTTGATACAGCTAAACGTAGTAGTAGTAACAAATAAACCTTTTGGTTGTGCGTGTTTATTTACCGGGTTTACAACGCTGCGATGTGCTTTACATTGTTATGCGGGTCAGACACCTGGCCACTGCAAGCTGAAGATGCGTTCCGCACCCACTTAAGCACTTCCACCCAAAAACAGTAGGTGGCTCCAGTAATCTTTCTTTTTGTGATCAACCTAATGGTCCTTGGCTCGAAAAAGCAACGTCTACAACTAATCTCTTCCTTTGCCTGTTTAACAACATTAAGGACGTCATGCAGTAAAACAGTTCAAACGAGCAATGGTTACTGAACCTTTTGTTTACAGAAGAGGAGTCGATGATCGATTTTCTTTCAAGCAAAAAAATACCTGGCCTTGACAACCATGTGCTACTTATAGCTGCTTTACTCTCTCAACCGAAAACGGGGGCCGTATTCCCGCGCCAAAATTTGTATCAGTCTTCGTACTTTCAAGCGTCTAGTACATGCAAACAGCTAGAAGTCCATGGAAATGCAGGCACCAGAGGAAGCATGTTGGGCCTTCATTCGGCGGCTTACAGCCCTTACCGACGCCTCCTCTCAGACCACTGAATTTCGTACTTAGACCAGCTCGAGAAGTCAATTTCAAAGTCCAGCCAAGAGGTGGGTGGGAAAAGGGACCTAGCTTAGCAATCATGCAATTTCATTCCTTACGAGTCACCCTGGAACTCGCGCAGTACTGCGGAACGAGTGCACTTCTCTTGTTCGAGACAACGGGCTACTCTGGCCACAAAGTTTATGATGGACCCTAAGCATGTACACACATGGTAACTAGGTGCGAGAAGTCAGAAATGGTGTTCATCTACCTGTGGGAGAGATGGCCCAAGTGGTTAGAGCGCGAATTTACTGACCGGAAAGTCCGTGGTTCGAATCCGACCTCCGCCACTCGACTTCCCCTGTCTAGGCTCGGGCAACCGGGCGGTATCCCAGTCCTCGTGCTTCCTTCGGGTGGCATGGCAGCTAGGCATCGGAAGGGTGCTACAGCTGAACGATTTCGATTTCTTTACCTGTGGCGGCACCATTGACTTTTTGGAGGAGGCCGCAGACATCCTCCTAAGGCAGTCTGTCCATCCCAACACATATATCTAAAGCGCCCCAATCTCACAAACGCTAACTACATCACTGGTGGGCTTCGGGCATATTGGATTCACCGTGGCAGCTGTCGAATGAAAGTTAAAGATCAGCTTCTGGGGAATCTGAATTACGATGGCATGGCTGTCACGTCAAGCCCCGTAAGCTTGAACAGGCAAATTTGGAAATTTATGTGTGGGTTTGAACTGCGGACCTCTTGGGCCCGTATATTCGGGCTGTCTTGAGCCCAGACGTGTGACAGTCGGCAACTTTGAAATCGGCTGTTTTATCATGATTGGGACTGTTATGTAGCCATTTCTTGGTCTAGTACTGGTGTGTTTGGACTTGAATTCAAGAAGTTCGGTAGCTCCTGTAATCGTATTTACCTGGAGCAATAAATTAAGTCAAGGTCCATCGAGTTAATTAGTCATAAGAACAAGTGTGATAGATACCCTGTAATTCAACCGCTCGCAGTTCTAGTTGTTATGATAGGTAAGGTCATGCACGACAATAGTTCAGCTGTAACACCCTTTCGGTGCCTTGTTGCCATTCCACCCGAAGGAAGCACGAGGTCTGAGATACTGCCAGGTTGCCCAAGCATACACAGGGGAAGTGGAGATGCAGAAGTCGGGTTTCAACCACGTACTTTCCGGTTAGTAAATTCGCGCTCCAACCACTTGAGCCATCTCACCCCTCCCCATGCACGACGATGAGGACAGGAAACTGACGTGGCTCATGAGGATTCAATGATACTTGTTCGGAATTCAGATGCTGCATTTGAACCACCACAGGTAATAAACGGAGTTTGGAAGTCATTACGCACTTTCCGACAGCCATCTGAAAATCTGACTCGTTGATTTTGTGAGGTTCCTTTATTTCGCAACTCATTTGCTGTTGTGGGCTTGTTCTGGTTAGGCTGCAACACAATCTTATCCTATTGTCTTTCTTTACTCTTCAGGCTCCTGGTTGAAGCAGACGCACGGATGAAGTTTATTTGTATCCCATTTATCTTGACTGTTGCTTTCTTGTCATCAATTTCGAAGATTCTTGGATCCAACGAACCGTCGTACTTCTCTATCCATACCAATTTATCGAATCTTATTCTGGTGAGTGACTCGATTATTTCGTTTTTTGTGACTGATTCAGCATTTGAATGATTCCGCATTTACCTTTGTTGCAGTATTTGATAGTTTGTTTCCCGGGGATAAGTTTTTGGAATATCAGGAATTTGCGAAGCGTACAAACAGTGTGAACGAACTCAGCGTATATCATATGATACATAGTAAGTTGAAGACCGCTTTCGTCCTCCTTTACTCACTTTACCGCCGTTGCAGATCTTAACGTTCCATCCGTAGAGAATGTTTTTCACAAGTTCAATTTAACTTTCGTCGATCTGCCCTACTACTTGTTGTTCTGTCGTGAACAGCCCAATCCAATAGTCTATCGTGGCAGCTGGAAGTCGGAAGATATTGTTCGTTGGGTAGCCAGCGTCACCGGTTTGCGTCTTCCGTTACCTGGCTGCATTGGATCCTTGGATATTTTGGCACATCGTGCCAGAAAAGCAGACACCCGTGAATTAAACGAACATATCCTACCAGAAATACGACGGTTACTTTCAATGGAACCTCACCTCTCATCTTCGTCAGCTCAGTTCTATATTCAGGCGGCCACACATCTCGCAACACGGGGAACGGCATATCTTTCAACGGAGGCAGCCCGGTTAAAGAGACTGGTTGACAATGAAGTGTCCGATGAACAGAAAGCAAAGTTAAAGGAACGACTGAACATTATTATCCAATTCATGGAACCCAGCGAGATGCGCAGTGAGCAAAAAACTGAACTTTAATCCAATCCAGATCTTCATATTTCCTTTTTTTAAAATTAAATTCCCTTGTTCACCTGACTGTTCGATTGTCCTTCCAAATAAACATCCTTACATAATTATTCACCGGTGGTTAAGCCCTCTTTGAATCTCTGTTGTGAAAATGTAAATCTTGTGATTAAAGGGCTGATGGTTCGAGTCTACCCCCGGGCTTGCCTCATTTGTGCCGTGTGTGTATTTAGACCTTGTACCCGGCGATCTACCAGATTCTTCTACTTTCTGATAGGTGACATTTCCTTGCTGAGCCGCCCACGTTGGTTGAAATGAGAACGTTGAATTTCACTGAATATTCCAAGTAAACCTGAAAAGCAAACTTCCAGTTTAGTGTTTGAAATGTTTTTGAGCCAAAAATTAAGCAAACGTTCCAAAATCGACCATATCGTGATGGAACACAGCTGCTCGACAGCGCACGGCCGGTTTCGCCCTTAGGTGTTCATCAGATAGAAGCGGTCCCCGAGTTTCTACCGTCATTATGTTCTAATTAAACCCAGGTCAGATGCGGTTTGCGATATACACTCATTTGCAATCTCTTGTGCTTTAATAGGAGATCGAATGCCATCGAAATCTTTCGTCTGTGATATTCGTCAGCTAGATGTTCTTGAGTAGGTTTGCTTCTTGTTTCAGTTGGTATGACATTCTAGATATTCTATTACAGTTGCTTGATGGAATAATACGCTTAATGTTGCTGAAACTTCTTGGTGATGCTTTGAAATCATCCCCTTCAAAATTCCAACTGAGTAGACGTAACAGCTGCCATACGTGTCGCTGGAGACTTGGAAGGTGATTCTTCCGAGTGCACACATGGTAACGATTGGACTCCAGAACAGTTGTCGTCATTTGATGCAAGACACTGAGTCTCTTCGTCTAGACGGTCTGTTTTACGTAAGCTCAAAGGAAGTTCGCTGATGGATAGGAAGGCGTGGCGGGACCAGCAAGCTCAAAAAATGGGGGAGACTAGGGCACCGAGGATGCGCAGAAGCTACTCCAGTTAGTCCACAAACAGGATCCAGGGCACCGTTTGTTGGTGAGCTAGTCAAAGACAATTTTGGAAATTTAGTATATAATAAGAGTTAGTGTATAGATCGCTGGTCACAATGTGTAAACAACATTGGTTGATCATCATTGCGAGCCGTGCTCTATGCGTTTAAATCCTCTCTCAGTTGAAGTACTAAGAAGTTGTTTTGCTTCGAAGTGGTATCGGGTTGCCGGGCCCAGTGAGTTTCCACCAGCACCACTTAAGGACGGTGGTGTCTACTTGTGTTCTGACCAACTTATTTGAAAACGTAAGCGAGTTCCAGGCAACTGGGACGAATCAATAATCTTACCTCTATGTAGCTAGGCCAGTTCTTGTATGAATAGTTGACTGAAGAAAAGTGCCTCCTGAAGCTTGTAAATATACTCCACACTTGTGGTCGTTTAACAGTTTGCAAAAAGCCCTCCGGAATTTTTCCTCTAGTGATTGGGTTTTAACAAAACTGCCCACTTTTCATTTCTGTTCAACTTTGCCATCGGTATCATCATGGAATGCACACTTCAAAGCTCTTGGTATCGGAATTACATCTAAAGAAAGACCAGTGAACTTCGGCTATGAACTGAATGAGTTAGAGACCGTTCCCTCTTTGAAAGAGCATGACAGTCGCGGTCTGCAACTGACTGCTCGCAGAGAAATGGATTTAGGCATTAGGAGGATTATTGTTTTCTTGCAGGCTGTCGCTAAGGGTATGGTGGATACACCCAATCAGCTGAGATTATACATATCTGCAACCGAACGTGATAACTATGACTGACAGTGCCGCTCTTTTGTTTTAGGTCCCGTGAAGCTGGCTTATTTAGAAAACTATTATTATTATTATTATCATAAAACTAAGTCCATTTTAACCGTAACGCATACGTCAAAATTTTGACCTTTAAGAGCTACTTAGTGCCCAGCTTCCATCACGGAATCTCCTTAGCTTCAACCGAGACATCGCAAGTGACTTCAGCGCTTCTGAAGTATTCACCTATATTGGTACGGAAATTGATTGAATGTTGATCAGGTAGCAGTTGATCTGTTCACCAAACTTAGTAGTGGGCTTGCAAACGTTTTGATTAGAACTCGTTGGTGAGCGATTGGATAGCGAGGAAACTAGTTGCCAAGCTCCGCGACCCCATTGGCTACCGCCTGAGCAACAGCCAATAACTGCACCCGGGGTTACCAATACTTATATCAACATACGGTAATTCAATTTTGATCGTTGGCTGTGATGTAAGTAACTTGTGGCGGTAACCGCGCCACAGTGAAACTGACCAGCGAGCACGTCTTATCATTACTGGTAGCGAATTGTGGCCAGTGATTATACGCCCGTGAATTGTTTATTTATCGAGGCGGCCTTGAATGAACAAACTTATCGCTCAGATTACCAGTGTTACTTCATTAGCAACTGCGGAACTTCTTTCGGTCGAATTCGTCTCTGTCCGTCTGTGTTCATGCAAGTTGCATTGCACGACTTTATCTCTGTTTACCTAGCTTTTTTGGGGTTTACGTTTTGCCATAAATGGACTGAATTTTAGAGTAACTTTTGAAGCAAGAAATTTATTGTCGACTGTGCAATACTGCATTCCAAGAATGGAGGCGATTGGGTTTGTTTTGAATTCACCGGCCTCTCACGTTGGTGCCTCCGAGAATGTGTAATCCTGGTCAAGCAGGTTACCAGTAGCGTTTGTCCATACGATCTGTATCATCACTAACGATTACATAATGGCAAAATCGAGCAATATTTGCTATCCTCTTGGAAAACTAAGATGTAGCCATCAACAAGAAGGCGCTGTGTTGTATGACGCCCATATTGTGGCTGTTAGCGAGAGCGGTTATGGAGCACAAGTACTTAAACTCGAAATGACGCGTTTCTTGGTGGTTTTAAGCTCCGTCAAGTGAGTTAAAATGATTTTAGGAATCGGATCCATACTTGATCAATAGCCCGAACCTAGCTTCATCAGACGTACACTAGCACAAACAGCTTGAAATTCCGTCTCCATTAACCACAACTATGAAACCGGCAGCTTCTGTTACTTAAGGGGGAAGGCTTCCAAGTGCGGTTGCTTAAACGCCTTTAGACAGCCCACGACGGAAAATTGGGGACTGCGCGTACCTGAGGAGCCCCAAGTAGGGTGAAACCGCTTGTGGGGTGATAGCAGCCTTATGAGTAGCACACGTCCAAGAAAACACACTACGATGTTTGAAATACGGTGCCAACTTAAATATGAAACGGCCTTTGCGCAGCACATCCAACAGAAGAATACCGTAAGCGAGAAATTCGGTTGGGATTCAGCTGAGTCCCCTTAAGACCGAATTGTTGTCAATGTGTCGAAATATTGTTAGCTGAGGGGCGCCTACTGGTATTTGATAAGATAGACCTTGATTTTTTCGCCGAGAATGGCAGCTTGCTTGCAGATGTTTCGTCCGCAGTCGAGCAGGCATCGTCAATGTGCAGTTGAGTGGGCCCTTCCTCCTTACCTATCCATGGACTGCTCTACTTTCATGAAGAATATTCCCTGTGATTAACAATAAGGGCCCATAGTTAGCGAACTACACTCATCTGTATGCCAATTCGGTGGCGGTTGATCAGATGGCCGTTGATTCGTTCGCCTATTTAGGCTTTTCGCTCGCAAACGCTTCGTCCCCAGTCAGAGAGAAATCGACAGTCCTCAACTAGCTGAGTCTGCACACTTTTGAAGACTATCTAATAACCTTTCATGTGACTGGCTTATTAGTTTACACTTTCCCTGTAATATTACTGGCCCGTTTGCTAGGCCTTGTGGTCTGTATATCTCGTATGTTACTGGTTGGTTGGATAACTTCTTTGGGTGTTTTAGGTTCCCTTTCGATTGATCTGTTCTTGTATTGTTTTGCGAGAGAGAGAGAGAGAGAGAGAGTGACAAACTGGCCACCAAAGCGCAACTAAATCGGCCAACAGGAGATACACAATAACCAAACGGGGAATCACAACCAGCCAATCAAACCCAAGAAGATGAGAGCGCAATGCAAACTAAAAACGGACCAATCAGACTGAAGGAAAGAAACTATATAAAATAGAAACTGTCCTCAGTGCCAACCAAATGCAGGGGAGAAAAACCACAACGCAAAACAATACAAGAACAGATCAATCGAAAGGGAACCTAAAACACCCAAAGAAGTTATCCAACCAACCAGTAACATACGAGATATACAGACCACAAGGCCTAGCAAACGGGCCAGTAATATTACAGGGAAAGTGTAAACTAATAAGCCAGTCACATGAAAGGTTATTAGATAGTCTTCAAAAGTGTGCAGACTCAGCTAGTTGAGGACTGTCGATTTCTCTCTGACTGGGGACGAAGCGTTTGCGAGCGAAAAGCCTAAATAGGCGAACGAATCAACGGCCATCTGATCAACCGCCACCGAATTGGCATACAGATGAGTGTAGTTCGCTAACTATGGGCCCTTATTGTTAATCACAGGGAATATTCTTCATGAAAGTAGAGCAGTCCATGGATCGTATGGCGGGTGACAAATCTCTTCCTGGAATCTCTTAGGAATCATTTAGCACCTAACAACTTGGTCTTTAATTGAGCCGGGGTTTGCTGACTAGAAGGTCCGCGGTACGAACCCTATATCTGCGTCTCGACTGCTCCTGTCTAGGCTTAAACAACTCGGCACTACCCCGGCCATCGTGCTTCCTTCGGGCGGCGCGGCAGCCATGCACCATTACAGTGTTATAGGTGAACGACCACCAATACTACCATTTCCATTGGAGGTCCCGCTACCTAAAACCTCCAGGTTTTTAAGTAAATGTTCCAAACTCTCCACATGTTCTAGGTAATTGTTTGTGATTGCTGCCTACAAAAATCTCCACAGTAGTACTTCATCCATGTTGCATTCATATGCCAAGTCTGATCATTCCAAACACTGACAAAACCGGTGGATGCTGAGACCAGTGGTGGCCAATACTTAAGGATATGCCGAGATGTATTCACGCGCTTCTGAACAAAGATTTAATGAATAAGATCCATCAGTGACTTCCCTGTTTCACTTATTTAGGATGACAACCTGGTGGCATTCGAGTCTTGGTGCTTCTACACTAAGGGTATTGCTGTGAGATGTTC